ATGCTGAGACATAAAAGCAATAAGATCCTCTCTGAGTGGCTCAACAACATTGTCCGCGGTAGGCCGGTGTATCAAATGAGCGCTGTACCGGAGTCGCAAAAACGAAATCCGGTGGCGCCTAATTTAGTAAAATCGATATCAATATGAATTTGGATCCACACGGAGGGTCCAAGGGCCGATTTTTAAAAATGTGATCCTAGATCCTTCAGCTGTTGTTCAGATGTATGAATTTTTACATCATTAACGTGGTAGAATGCACGCGTCTGTAAGAACAGGGTAATAAGCGCTAACAAGACGTGAGACGAGAAAAGACGTAAAAACACTGTGGGGGTCTCAACCTGGAGAAATGTTCATGCTGGGAAACCTTCGACAAGGCCGGATTCAGACTTCGCGTCAGTTCTCACCTCTACTGATTGTTCGAATTCAAAGGTTTTTGTCCATGTTGGGCTTCAATAGAAAATTCTGTTGACGAATTCTCCATGGTACCAAACAATTGTCATGAGTACTCTCAGTAATATGCCTAAAGGTAGGTAATCACAATTTTGACAATTTAACTTCGACTCCACAAGGTTTAGATATGCAAAGGGTACGCTTATCACTTCGCGTGTATCTTGTGATATTCAAATCCGTCAGCTCATAAATGATATCAAATGTGCAAGTGCATCAGCTGACTGTGTAACTTTATGCCATAGTGCAACAGTGATTACATGATATCAGGATATTTAACTTAAAGCCACTTCCTACTTTTGTCCATAACTTCATTATGTTTGGATCTTCACTTCCCGCATATTTCTAAATAAAAAAAATTGAGTGGACTACTGAGTTTATCATTGTCTGAACTTGAAATTACGATTACGACAATACCCATTGGCCCTTTTGTCGTTATCTTATCACAGATAAAGGAACTAGTGATAAGGATATTAGAAATGATTTTACGATTTTATACGTACGTGATCCCATCCTGTAGAATAGATGGTATACGATCTTCGCAATCTCCAAACCAGTTACAAGCCTGTCCTTGGTCCTAATATTCCTTTCTTGGTCCTCTAGGCGAAGAACGAGGTGGCCGCCAAAATCGTCCGAGTTTATACGCCGATATTTGTCGGTAATCCCCGGGAGGACTCCCATTTTAAAGTGAAGGGGCTGCTCGTCGGGAAAACTAATTTAAATCCCTAAGGGAGGACAATGTGGGTGTGGCCCAAGCTTAAACTGACCCCTAAAGGGGATTTCTGTGAGGTCGGCATCACGGCTTTTTNTTTTTTTTTTTTTTTTTTTTTTTTTTTTTTTTTTTGCAAATTTCTTTATGCACAGCCCTAAGCGATACCTGAATGAGCATATTTAGTTACTTTCCGTCCCAAACAACCGAAGTGAGACCAAAATCTACAAACGACGACCACCCACGTCACTTTTGTATGGGAGTCCTCCTGGGGAAGCAGATCACCATCTGTTCCACTTGATTTTTAGTAAGGTCAATGATTACCGTCTTTTGAGAGTATTGGCTCTGCTTCACTTAGTTCAAACTTCGATGGATGACAGTTTCATGGTGAGAAGTAATGGTGTCCTGACCTTCGTGTACTTTTCTCAGTTGGGAAACACCGCGTGAACTTCCACACTTTATTTTCTTGTTACTTTCACTAATGTTGCACGATTCGAAATTAATGTTGAAACTTTATTATTTGCGTGTGCCAACTTCTTTATTAGCCTAGTTGGACTCCGGACTGTCTCTTGGAGCGTGAAAACAAAAGCTGACCACTCTTGATAGGAAGAAACAGTCAGTAAAAGGAAGAAACCTTTTAACTGAAATTTCATTAACAAAGGTCTTCAAATGTGGGCTCCTGATCAGTGGCAGGTAAATAAAGGAAAAATAGTAACTCGCCGTTCACAGTCCAGTACTATCGCCCCTCGTTAGCGAATACAAGACAGTCTTGGATTCTGGATCCCATTCCATTTATTCTGGATTCCAGGTGCTGGATGCCAGTCTTTTCCAGTGGAACTTGGATTCTAGATTTCATTCTTAGTGGGGTACTTGATCTCTATTTTGGATTCCAAAGCCCTGGATTCCGGATTCCATAGGCAAAATTTTCCCGGATTCCGGATCCTAGAAGCAAAATTTTTCCAGATCCCGGAATCCTGATACCCTTATATGGGGCGAAGTACTAGGGTGCTTACCATTTGACGGAAAATTTCGGAAATTCCGGATGGATGGTAAATGGTAAGGTCACTTTTCGGAAATCCAATCGAAAATTGAGGAAAACGTTTTGAGGTAGTCCTTTCATTCCGGTACGAACCAAACGGAATGTTGCTTACCATTAACCAATTTCTCAGTTCCTTCTCAGTTCCAGACTCACGCGACACAAATTCGCCCTTTTTTTGGATTCAAAGCGTAACGGACGTGGCATTTCTACGGTAAACTGGCAAATCGCTTACCATATGGTTTCGACATCCCAACCGGATTTTTCTGTCAGATGGTAAGCACCCCTAGTCAAACGTTTTCTGACCTGTTCACGCATATTTAATTAACCACTGGGAAATTTACTTCTTCTAACGTTCGGTTTTATAATATGATGGATCGGAGTAACTTCTGGTCAATGCAGCTTTTTCAGACTGGACCACATTTTAAGCTAGAAGAGGTTTGGTTCTGAAAAGGTATTTTTCCGACTTAACACGAATGTTCGGGGCAGTGGGAAATTAAATGAAGCTTGGAAAGGCATCTTTTACTTGCTGAACTAATTTTTGAACAATATATATCATTGGCAAAGGGAAAAAGGGAATTTTAATAAAGTTTTGGTGGGAAAATGAGGCATATCTTACTTAAAAGTGGCAAGTATTTGAATAACTGAGGATTTTGCTGCGACAGCAGCCGGTATCGTCACGCAACGCAAATTGAACATTTGCCTAAATTTGAGTTGAAACCTTCAATTCTGAATCTCGTTGTGCCACAAGTTTTATTGCATAACTTGACAAAATAGCTATTAATCTTTAACTGGAACATGTTTTTAGGTCTAGTTTAGGTGCCACTTTTCAGACATTTCTGATGATTTTGAGGCATTTTTTCGTGCAGTTTACTTTCTTAATAGGATAAGCGAAATAAAGACGACCAGTTTTTGCTGATTACAGAAAGATAATGCCTAAATGGTATTGGAACAGTAAGAAGAAGTAATATTCTTCCAAATGAGTGCAAATAGTCTAGGATTTGATGACACGAAGTACGTCTAAACGATCGTTAAAAAATCTGTATAACAGAGACTAAAATTTGCATATTTTAGCCGCTAACGGCCGTCCAGCAATGAAATGCTGGGAATGGCAGTAAAATAAGCAATTTCCTCATTCTAACTGCAATTCCGTTATTAGAATGGATAGTAGTGTTGATGGTAAAATTATAAGGCAAAAGTTTTTTCGAGTTCAAAATCGAGTGGAACGCTTTAGGGAGACTGCCTCTTAATACTTTAACTCAGCTTTATTTTAAAAAACCTATATACACATTTCGGACCAATATTGTTTCGAGAAGTTACCGAATAATTAAAGATTTGGCGCTTACCGTAATTCGCATTTGGTTGTGCTTCACGTTTTTTCGCCTGTTTTTAGTGTAACCTTTACATTTGCTTCGCTTTGTCAGCACTCGTGATTTCATTTACCGAAAAATTTTATTTCGCTAATTTGAAGAAAAACGAATGCTCTTTCAGGCTAAACAAGCCTTGGTGTTCAAAGCCATGTACCAATCCGCTTTTTTAGCTCGTGAAAAAGTGCTAAATTTGACGGTCGATTAAGCGATTTTGAGTCAGCAACTTTAAAAATTTCTTAAAAAGTCTCTTGTTGACCAAATCGGGAACTAATCAGATAAAATTAAAGAGGAAAGATAGTAAAAATATGAAGTGTCATTATATTTTAGTAGCCAACTTTATTTTAAAATATACGAGCCACTGAATATGACTCTAATTTTGCATGATGTTTGCCCATTTTAGGAGGGTCTGTATGGGGTTAACTGACAACTGACAAATGGCCAAAATTTTAACTGACAACTGACAAAGAGGCTAAAATTTAACTGACAACTGACACTTGTAGAGGGTTTTACTGACAACTGACAAAAGATCTTATTGCCCTAAATATCCTTCAAAACCCGTTGTAAATAACAATGTTTTACTTAGCCTGCGAGCAAGCTCTCCTATTTGGGCGAGTGAAACGAGTCTCGCGAGAACGCGCGAGCGAGCGGCGAAACCGCCCCTCGCTCGCGCGTTTTCGCGAGGCACGCTTCGCTTGCCCAAATAGGAGAGCTTGCTCGTAGGCTATGTTTTACTCTTTTCGTCAAACAAATACACGTTTTATATTAAATCTTAGCAGTAGGACGCTTGAGTGTCGTATTTCGTTAATAAATACACCTTATTCGATGCTTTAGCATATAATACATGCGGATATTTTGCGAGTTGCGTAGTATTTTTCCGAGCCCCGCAGGGGCGAGGAAAAAAACGAGCAATGAGCAAAATGTCCGCTCGTATTATATGCTAAACCATCGAATAAGAGGTTTATTATTCCACTACAAGAAAAAAAAATTATCTGGCAATTGGCTTCTATTTTTTGGTAAGAGTATTCAGAGACATCCTAATTCTGTCTGTGAGAATGACGTTAACAATTAGCAAAATGTTCGCGCGTATTATATGCCAAACCATTGAATGAGAGGTTCATTATTTTACTGCAAAAGAAAAATGGTATTTTGGCTTCTATTTTCTAATGAGAGTATCCAAAACATCCTTATTCTGTCAGCCACAGTTGCTCCTTTTGCATCCGCCGGTATTCGCCCTGTTGTAAACCGGTTAAACCAGGACACTAAGGTGTATTACGGCCTCGTATTTTGCTTGTTCTCTTGACCTTATATAGTAAAATGACATAATAGTGGAATAATAATTTACCGTATGACCCATGTACATCAGGATCATAATTTTCACCTCTGATCTCGAACTTACAAACTCACGCTAAGCAGTCCAGAGCACGCGCCAGCTTACTTGATGACTGCCAATGCTGGCGTTATTAAAGGGATTGTAAGCTTTTACCGCGTTAATTCGGATACGGCAATCGAAAGACATAGAAGCCGTATTCCGATAAATGACTTAAATACAGTACATGCTCTCAAAAAGCACCTTATTCAATTCCTTGGTCTGAAGGAACTAACAATTAAATACGGCCTTGGAGATTTCGATATAAAGCTTTATCGGATGGCACCGAAACCGGGCGGGAAAAGTGATAACTTCGCCATCACAACGGACGACCAGTGGAAGCTGGAGCTTCCAAGTATGCTGGATGACTCAGGAAGCGAAATGAACAGTATGTATTCTTAGTGCTTGTGTATTTGTTTCATGTAGTGGTGTAAATATAAGCATGCAAGTTAGTCCGGAAAACCTTCTGGGTACTGCTACGCTTTCAAAATATTTTCGCTCTTGTTTTCACGTAATGCACTATGTACCATTTATTTTTCTTGAAATTTGTTTATGTTATAATTACGGTGGCCTAATGTATGACTACATTTTGTAGCTTTGCGGCAGCGGTGCGAACCCCTGCGAACCACCGCGTGTGCTTGCTTCTCAACACCTTTCCTGGAGGGATCGTTACAAGTCAGATTTTAGTGGTGTCGGTTGATCGTATGTAAATTCATACATTAAAACACGCAGTACATCAGCTAAAAACAAAACATTATAGAAACCAAACACTTCACCCCTTCAAATGAAATACTAATTCAATGATGATTGTATATGCCGAACAAGTCACTGGGATTATTTCCTGCTAGTCTGTCAAAACCTCTATTTTGTCTATAGTTCGTCGAGATCACAAACAAAATAGAAACCGCAGGGGATTTGAAAGCGCGCGAACGTAAGGGGGTGGCCGTGGGGAAAGACAAATATATTCTTTTCTGCGCCCGTTTCGCGGCCACTGTCGCCCTCCGCGCGAGCTCTCGCGCGCTCGAAGAAAATAACTCTTTGCAAAAAATAAAAGTCTGTGGACAGACTAATTTCCTGCGATTTTGTTCAGACAAAGTATTAAATCGAGCAAAAAAAGAAAGAACTCTTCCGATATTTGGTTGTCTTTCTCACGATATACTTCAAATATTTTGAAGGTGAATTTTGATGAGCTAAGGGTCTAAGGGTTAGAGAGGAATGTTATGCTCGGGCAAGCAGGAGAGTAACGATAGAAAGCCGCTTGTAATGAATTCAATCCAAATTTGAAAAAAAAAAAGGTTATTAGTGTAGCAATTTTCGAATTAGTGATACAATTTACATTTAATGCGCCTTTTGAGCTAAATTTTGGATAAAAAAGAAATAACTAAACTACTTAACTAATTATTAACAGCCAATTAACTGGCAACTGACAAATGGCTTTAAATTTAACAGACAACTGACAAATGGCCAAAATTTTAACTGACAACTGACATTTGTAACCCCCATCCAGACCCTCTTTTAGGCCTCGGGAACAAAAAAATTCGTTAAAAAAATATTATTCACTCGATCGTACTTAAACCAACGATTTCGTAAGTAGGGCCCATAGGGCTTTATTCTGGCTGAGTTTGAGGCCAGGTCATTTTTTGACTATTTCCACGTCTAGTTGATATTTACGCGGAGCCGCTCTTAATGATTACATGGATACACCCGCATTCCACTTCCGAACGGAAGATGATGCCATCAAAATGCTTACGCCTGGCTGTTATATGGCCGACATCGATTTACACCACTCTTATCATTCCGTCCCCATTCACCCAAGCAACTTTTTGCCAACAGGCCTTAAAAGAAAATTCGTGGGGGAACAGGAGTTTACTTATCTTGATGATACTCGATTGCCATTTGGCGCCAAGTGCTCTCCAGAAAAATCTTCCACCGGTTAACCTAATCTGTCCGCAGAATGATGGCTAGGCGCGGCTTCCACTCTATGGTGGTCTACCTGGATGATTTCTAAGTGATTGCCCCCACACGTGAAGCTTGCCAACTAGCCTTTTCCACCCTTTTGAAACTACTTCAGGACCTGGGATTCTCCATCTGTTGGCGCAAGGTGACTAGCCCAAAACAGCAACTGGTTTTTCTGGACACCCTGAATTCCAGGATGGCTCTTCGACGCCAAAAGCTGTCTGAGTTACAAAAAGTGATTTCTTCCAGTTTCCTGTCCAAACGCAGAGCGAACAAAAAACCGCTCCAGCAGTTTGCGGAGAAGTTAAACAGGGCCTGTCGAGTTGTGTATAGTGGTCGCACATTTTTACGAAGAATACTGGTTTTATCGCATCGATCTGTGAACTCCACGCTCTCAAAAGTTTAGAGCTTAAATTTGGCTTAAGTTCAAAATTTCGGAATGTCTCGACAAAATACCTGTTAGAAGCCTTCTTAATGTGTTCCTTCTTTTGTTTAGGTTTTTCCAAAGCATCCTTTAATACCCTGACATCTTCTTTCACAATATTTTAAAACTTCGTCGCCATCGTGGCACTGAGACGTACGGAAGGTTGCCAAGGCAATTTTGCAATTTTGCCATTTTGCGAAATTACAAGTTAATGCTGAAATTTCGCGCCAAAATTATGGAGAAATTCGTAAACCATGATATCAAGATATTAGTTATTCGGCGTGGATATAGGCCCATAACTCCACACAGTAATTCTGTGTTTGTTAGAAATCGAATTCCAAATCTGTTCGTCAGACGACCTGAAATGACCCTTCCCCTCTCTACAAAAAATAAGGGAGAGTGGAACACGCAACGCCTTCTGGGTGAGCCGTCGGCCGTTTTGCTTTTTTTTTTTTTTTCGAAGGAGAAAGTCCATGCCAGAAGGGCAATTTAAAGATGATCTTTCATGATATTTTGAGTCATTACTTCTGCAAAGTGCAAAGTTATCTTGAAATTGAAGGAAACTTCCAAAAAGTAGATGCGTAAAATAGAAATGAGGTAATATTAACAACAACAACAACAACAAAAATGAAGTTTAATTCTGAAAGGACTATATGGGTTTGAGTTTAATGTGAACTTATTAATACCAGGGGGAAGCTGAACACCTCCCTTAGTAATATTGCATTTCCCTTTACTGTGAGGGGCGCTTTCGCCATCCGGAAAATAACCTTGTAGTTTCTAAAAGGCCAAGAGGGAGAAAGGCATGAAACCTCTTCCCTCGCTTCAATAAAGAAAGTTAAAAGAATTAATTATTCCTTGCCAACTACTTTCTACTGCTAGATGGCGGAAACGCCCACTCTTTTCCTTAGATAAAGTTGTTTGTATAATGGGTTTTACCAGCTTTAATTATATGCTTTAAGAAAATAAAGCCACACGTTTTACTATAATATGAATTACGCAAAGTTAATAAAATATAATGAAAAGGTCAATAATTAAAAGGTTTCAAAGGTTTAATAGTTCTATGTCTAATTACTGTTTACTTTTTTAAATGTCTTATTATTTTGTGACCAGCAATCGGAGCTTAAATAAGACATGAGGGGGATCATAAAGTATAAAAAGGATTGAGAAAGGGAGACACAAACATGTATCGAAATACTGTAATCACAGACTTGGTGGTGTAGGCTCTTTAATGCTGTCATTCAAAATGTTCACGGTGCGTAATAAGTTCTTTTGATTTGTATTAGAAAAAAAAAAAAAAAACGCAAAACTTTTGTCTGTCCATAAAGTTGTATTTTATTTTAGGACACATTTTTCTCATTTTTACCAGCTTTCAAGAAAAAGCTTGTCTTACAAGTCAAATGAGTCAATGAGTCATGAGTCTAGTTATGAGTCAGGTTAGAGAAGCCCTGAAAAAGTGATTGGGGTTAAGCACTGATGATATTAGTGACAATGGTTAAACCTTTCTATATAAAATAACGACATCCAAATCTTGCTGTTTTATCCAAGACAAAAATAAAATTCTGATTTAAGCTGAGAATGGACCTTAGCTACTACATATACACCACACCGCATAAAAAAGTTGAGTCCAAGTAGTTTATCTCTATTTTGATTTACAAAGATGTACAGAAGATGCTAAACAAATTTCAATGCATTGGTATGAACTGACCTTGGTAGGATTTTTTTCTCGCTTTTTCTCAGTACGGATTTTACCCCAGGTGTTTCCTTTCCAGAATTGTTTTCCCTCGAAATCATTCTCTACGATTTTTTCTCTGAAATCTTCCATAACCC